TGCCTGCATATTTTTCATAACTCACTTCAATCTAATGAACCATGATGTGAAAAACCTAAAAAAATCAATATTAATCAAACTGGAAAAATCAATAGCGAGTTCCCTTAAGCCTTAAGTCGTTTCATTTGTTTTGATTTTGTTTTTCAGCCCAGTCAGAACCTGGTGAGGACCCAGAGGTGGTGAGAGCAAAGTACTTCATTAGGGATGAGTTTTTGGTATGTACTCACTTGTTTTTTAATGTTTTCTTTTGTGTTCTCTTCTTCTCCTCCTATCGCTTCTCCTCCTCCTCCTTTTCTTGCTCCTCTTCTTTTTCCTTACAGGTGGTTGGAGAGCATCACTGGTAGATCCTACTTCTTCTCCTACCCGTGTGTTATTTCTGCCTGTCTGTGTCTTGCTTCTTTTGATGTGCTGTGCGTCTCTTTACTCAAACGAAACTGACACCCCCCAGGGTGGTGCTACTAACTGAAGTATCTATAGGCCTTTCCCAAAGGGGGGGCATTAACCAAGTTCTTATGTACAGTAGAATTGTAATTGTAAATGGGCTGATTCAATTCATCAATGTCATGCTCATAACTGTGCCTGAATTGCAACAGGGAACTGCTGCTTTTTCTGTCCTAATCCTTTCTATCTTCATTTTCCCCTTTACTTCTTTTGTATGTTTGTCACACTCTTGTGACCATCTATTTCCGGGGTGCCTTGATAGTCAAAGCAGACTTTGTGCTGTTGAAGCTAGAGAGGTGAGTAGAGTAAGACTGATTCCCACATCCACTGCTTGGTGCTCATATGACCGTAGGCAGTTGCGAGCGCCGTAAAACCTTATTTAAAATTTTTAAAAACAAACTGTTGGGCTTGCAGTATCTGTAGGTTCTAATATTGCAGACTCAGACATGACAGACAGTAATGGTAACTCCGTCCTTGTGCATACATGTCTCTGTCTTTGAGGAAAGTTTTCTGTTTGAAGCGTTCAATAATTTCCAGTACAGTAGGGTTTTTATTTTCTTATTGGGTCCCCTTTTTTCGGAGGTGCAACCGGGAAAGACAACATTTTTAGAGGAGAAGTTTACACGTATTTTTGGCTTCTGTTTAGTTGTAGGTTTTTTTGGGTGTTGTTTTGACAGCATTGTACTTTTGACTTATGAAATGAAAAGGAATTTGTGGGTGGTTGGCGGGTGCTCTGGTGTGTGGTTTGCTTCTTCTTTCCTGTCAAACATCTATCGTCCTTATCTCCCCTTCTTCTTTTTTTATGTTTGTTGCTCTCTTGTAACAGCTCTAATCTTCTGGCGCTCATATGACTATATGCAGTTGCGAGCGCCGTAAAACCTCTACTAAAACTAAACTATCTCCCGTCCTTCTTCTTTGTGTTTGTTACTATCTTGTAACACCTCTAATCTTCGGCACTTTTATGACCTTATTGTGTTGCAACTGTTGTAAAACATTAACTAAAACTGAAACTAAAAGGAATCCTACACTGATTTGTCATTGTAAATTTTTAGGATGTACCTTTTATCCAGGGTCTAAGTCAATGGGGGGGGGGGGGGGGGGAGCAACTGCTTTTGAGACAGTATCTTCTCATGTGTATTTATGATTGTTTTATTTCTTTGTTTACAGAGAATTAGCACTGCAAGTGTTGTTTTGTTTCTTTGTTTACAGAGAATTAGCACTGCAAGTGTTGTTTTGTTTCTTTGTTTACAGAGAATTAGCACTGCAAGTGTTGTTTTGTTTCTTTGTTTACAGAGAATTAGCACTGCAAGTGTTGTTTTGTTTCTTTGTTTACAGAGAATTAGCACAGCAAGTGGTGATGGCCGACACTACTGCTACCCCCACTTCACCTGTGCGGTGGACACGGAGAACATCCGCAGAGTGTTTGACGACTGTCGGGATATCATCCAGCGAATGCACCTACGTCAATACGAGCTTCTGTGATTTTTTGCCAGCTCAATGGCTGAACTACTATTTTTCTATTGTGATGCATCTCTGCTTTTTGTTGGCCGTGTGTCTGGTCTTGTGTGTGCATGTCTTCTCGGATCAGGCATCAGTTTTTTGTTCGGAGGATGGAAGCAGAAGGGCTGGCTGTGAATGGGGCTGGGCGCTTCCTGTGACTCTCTTCCGTCCCTCTCCCTTGCCTTGCCACCCAGCGGGAAATGAGAAATGATGACACGTTGTACATTATTGGAGTGCTCACACTTTACCCCGGGCAGGTAGCACCCCGCAACTCCCCCTCTCCACTTCCCCCTCTACCCCACTCCTTTGACCACCACACTCTCACAAAGCATGAGTGAGTTCCCCCCCCCCCCCCACGTTTTAAAAAAAATCTGGCAAGGCTGAGGGCTGATTACATCTTACATGAATATATACAAACGTATGTAAACACATGCACAGACATAAACACATCTCACTTGCCCACACACACACACACTCCACACACACTCACACACACATGCACACTTGCCCACCCACACACACACGCAAACACACACACACACACACACACACACACACACGCACACACACACACGGTCATGTTCTCATTTTACACTGTTATGGTACTTCTCGTTTGCAGACATAGTTTCACTCCCATTACTCAGACATGATAAGTTCACAGTACTCTTGAGAGTAGTTGACTCGAATTCTGTGTGCACAGGAGAAATGAAACATTCTCCCATCCTACCCTCACAAAAACACAGACGTGCACCTGTAGACTCTTTAATTAAAAAAACAACACAAAAATATTTTTTTTGTACATGGGCGGTAAATTTACCCTTGATGAATAAGATTCTTTTGTTTTTGTTTTGTTTTTGCTGCTGCAGAAGTAGCAGGACATCGCGAGACACGATGTGATATATGTGATAGTGCGGCAGCTAATGGCCGCCAAGACTATGCTTCTTTCATGCTGCAAGCTTACACACATCAATCCCAGTTTGAGCAGTCTTGCTCGTTTTTGCAGGAGAGAGTGAAGAGAGAGAGAGCGAAAGAGAGAGAACGAAAGAGCGAGAGACAGAGAGAAAGAGAGAGAGAGAGTATAGAAGCTGTAGAAGAAACCTGAAGTTATAAAAAGAAATGTTTTTTGCAGCTTTTGGTTAATGTCAAACCTGTTTTTATTGTGGGATCTGAATTTCTTTGTTTTTGATTGTCTTGGGTTTTTCAACATATTTGTTTTTTCCCCCCCCCCTTTTTTTAAAACCGAAGATGAAAAGAACTTCCGTTATTTTAGTTTTTCTGTTTTTTGAATGTTTATTGTATGTTTTGTCAATGCTCAATCCATAGGTAGGCCTGGGAATTGTCTGCTACTGAGTGGAATTCCACCTAACTGATGATAAGTGGTTTGGCTCTGTGTACTCCTCCCCCCCTCTCCCCTCCCTTCCCCTCCACCCGCCTCATCATTGTTATATCACACCATGTTATATAGTCCTTCATTTCTACAACCTCTCCGATGTGGATTTTGGGAGGAATTCTCTCGGAATTGTTTTGTTTTTTTTGGTCCACTTTCCCTGGCCCAAGGTTGGGCTGTGTGGAGCAGACCTGCTATACCAGATCAGATAATTATGGCAAAGACGTTTTGAGTCAAGCCTGTACAGTCTTTGCTAATGTTCTGTTTATTGGGTATACGAGTGACCAGATTGACTGTGCGAAATGTACCATCCTTCCTTCTTTGTACTACAAGACTTTTTAGTTGTTTTTCACGTACTTCGCCAGTCTTGCTATGTATGAAACCCTCCTCCCCCCCATTGAATAGTTGTTTGATACATGGGCCCTAAGGCATGATTATCTTGTGTGTGCATATTATCTTATTTTTGATACTTGTGTGCTAAAAGATGGCATATCTATCTAAAGAACTTCACCTCTAATTTTAATGTCTTAGGTAAAACTATACCATGTGCAACTTATGCCATATTGAATTTGAAGTGGAAGGTCTCTGTAAGTATGGTTGATTTGTTGTTTCTATTTCGTTTCCCGAAAAATGTATATGGTGTGCAAGTTCAAATCCTGGTGTGTGTACTATAAGCACAGATTGTATCATGATTATTATCTTCCCTAACTTGGCGATCCTGCTTTCATCACTGTGGTTATGTTTCCCAGCAACTCACATACCTGGACGTGTGCCCTCCCTTCCCCCTCCGTTTGTGCAGGGTCCCTGTGAGGACATTTGGGCCTGAGTCTCAGCTCCTTTTGCTTACTTATCATTCCAAACTCACGATCTGCACAGGTCGCGCGATAGATTCACTGCTGGCTGGACATTTTACCTGTGTTCACAGTCACTTTTCATCTCTCCCCCCTCTGACCGTTTGTATCTTTTCTTCTTGCATTTATTTCAGTTTATGGGCCTGTCTATTTTTTTAAAGACAATATGTCACTCTGGTTTAGACAAAGTAGTCCCGAAAATAAATTACTGAATGGCTTTTCTCCCCTTCACCCAGCTTACAAGGGAACTCGTTTCTCAGATTTATGCTGCCATCGTATTGATCTGATCTTACTTTGAAATGATTAGCAAATTTCGTATAAGTTTTTTTCTTGTATTTGGTTTTATTTGTAAATGTGCTGCATAGCTGTGGACGTGCAGTTACTTGACTTATGCCAATGTGTCTCGTGGGGCCTAATGGTGACAAATACTGAGGTAAAGGAAAAAAACCCCAGCAAGTCTCATACAAAACACAAGGAGGTGTGACAGGCATTTGACGTTTCCCTGGTTTGCTGAGTTGAAATTTGTCTGCACTCTGAAAGGAATATATAACTGCACAAGTAATCTAGATGCAAAAGTAAAACATAACTACGTAAAGTAAATAAATATGTCCTTCGGTTAGCGTGCCCTTCTGGAAGAGAGTCTGAAAATTGTCTTTTTTTTCTGGTTATACTTTTGTGGAAAAAGAATAGGCTGACACCAGCTGATGATGCAAATATGACCTACAAGTGTTTATTGGCGGCTTTTAAAAAAAAAATAGCCTTGAAGAGATGTAGTAGGACATTGAAGAGAAAGCAGGGGCTAAAGCTCATGGGTTCTCTCTCTCTGTGTCTGTCTATTGTGTGACGTTTCTGGCTTACAAAACTGTCATATCCCAGTATAATCTACAGCACTTGCAGTGTGGAAACAAATGCTATATCTGTCCCATGTGTGTGTGTGTGTGGTGTATGGTATGTGTGTGTGTGTTTATGTATATGTGTGTGTATGTGAGACTTGGCTTGTCTGTGGCTGCAGCGTTAAGGATTGACGAGAGTTGAATGGAGTTTTGTACATTTGATTACTATACTGTATATCCCATTGATGCTGGTGTGTGTGTGTGTGTGTGTGTGAGTGTGTGTGTGTGTGTGTGTGTGTGTGTGTGTGTGTGTGTGTGTGTGTGTGTGTGTGTGTGTGTGTGTACTATAATATCTTATGAACAGGATCCATATTTTCTTCCCATCTTCTTTGCAAATGGTGTGTGTAAATGGCCATAAGAGAAATATTTGAAAGCCTTTTGTTATAGAAAAAGTACATGTTATCTGTTCTCTCCCCCTATCCCCCTGTTCCATGTGTGTTGACATGATTGGTAACTTGGAAACCTTCCTGAAGATAACTATTTATCCAGTTCTTGCAGTTTGATGGTTGCTGCAAGAGTAGTAGTATACTGTGAAGTGTATCTTGGGCTCTGGTAGCGACAGTGACATTCTTTGTCCTTTTGTGTGATTACTGCAGAAGTACTTGCTTAACCAGAACTCTATCACACCATTGTCAACATAATTTTTCAACTGGGGCAAATGAATCGAATGTTGTTGTTGTTTTTTTCCTCTCTTCTTAGCATGGTAAAACTGCCACTTCTTAAAGACAATTGTTGTAATAAAGTGAATTTGATTTTAGGATTTGAGTGTGATTTAATGATTTAACAAATTTTTACTTGAGTCTTGACAGAATCTCGAGATAGTTTTTTTACGTGCCAGTTGCTGAAGATTTGTCCTGCAGACATCCTCAATGACAAGAACAGGATAGATTGCTTGTCTTGTTTAAACTGCTCAGCTGCATATTGAAGCCATTGTTTTCACTTTGTTTATGTTGAAACGCTTGAGAAAGTGCTCTCTTTTTATTTATTTTGCTTGGCGTCCTGAGAAAGGTGTACATGGGCGGGATCACTCGGGGCTGTGACGAGTGGTGATGGATTGGGTTGGGATGGATGATGATGATAAGGTGATGATGGATTGGGTTGTGATAGGGCGATCATGGGTTGGGTTGTGATAGGTGATGATGGGGTCATGATGGATTGGATTGGGATAGGTGACGGTTGGGCAATGATGGATTAGGTTGTGATAGGTGATTATGGGGTGATCATGGATTGGGTTGTGACAAGTGATTATGATATATATATACTACTTCTACTACATGATGGTTGTCAGCACCTGCTTTATCAGATCTCTCAGCACCAGTGTTGAAACGTTATGAGTTGTGAACACGTTGATGGTTTAGTTTCGTCAGCTGTTTTCTTTTGCAGTTAAAAAAAAATTTGCAAGAGTTGTGTTTTTTGGGGGTTTAGATTCAGTTTCCCGGGTGGATAGATTTCAGTCTCGGTGATGATTGTCTGATGTACATTGTTGTCACGATGAGTGAGGGGGAGAAAGTGGAGACCCGAGGGCCCTCTTATACATGATCTGTTAGATTTCTTACCCGGAGCTGTGACTGATTTACTTTCAACAGATACGTTCTGAGCTCATTTGATCTGACATTTTGGAAGTTGGGTTGATTTTGATGGGGCGTCATCTCTCCAGGAATGGAGAGAGGCCTTTTTGGGTTTGTAGAGAGGAAAGAATCTTTTTTCTGCTCTTTGTAGAAAGTTTAGAGAACTGTGTGTGAACTTTGTAAAAAATATTCTAGCTTTAATGTTGGCTTCTGCTTTTTTCCTATTCCGAGGTAGAATGTGCTGACTAAGCCCTTTCATGAGGTCGTACTGGAAAAGAGCTGATGACGCTAGGGTTTTTTTTTTTTAGGTTTGTTGTTGGGTTTTTAAAGAATGTTCTGTTTTTGTGCTGTCATGACTTTGGTCACAGCTTTGCGCTTGTTTCTAGGTGTACGATCATTTGACATCTACTAAAGAGCTTGTTTATTTACAATGACTTTAATCCGTCCTTAGTTGTACCCACATTTTTAAGGTTTTAATTCATTTTATGTCAATTTGTCAGGCGTAAACAAATATAGACGGGAAATGGTCTGCCGATTTCTGTGCTGGGACCACCTAAAAAAAAAAATGAAGACTAGGTAACAAAATGATGACTGCCAAAATGTTAGATTAAAAAGAAATAATGTAGGTCATTACTATGGAGAAAAATTATATTTGAGCATTGTGATGTAATCTTTCTGACTTTTCTTTGTAAGTAGAAAGGAAGTGAAATGTATTGATGACCCCACTGTGGCATCCTTTGGTAGCTCCACAGTTGTTCCACTTGCTGGGTTTGGTTGTGAGACAGTATGCTCTATAGGATCTGGTATATGAGTAGTTTATCTAGTTTTGCTTCTCCGTGCTGTTTGTTTGATGGACGCTGTGACCATTTTGTAGCATACTGTGTACAGATATGCTCACATATTTTAATATATACCTGCAAGAATATGTGGCAGTTAGGAACAGGAGAGATGTACTCTGATAGCATTGTAACCCTTGTTCCTCTATTTGAGAGGGGCCTAGTGGTGACTTTTTTCGGCCGTTGGGTTTGTATCACGACTTCTGCTGCTTGTACTAATACCTAGACATGATAGTAAATGCAGTGGTTGTTTGGTGGTGTTGTGTTTGATATGCACAACCTAAGGCCTGGTCATCATCATCATCATCTCTTTTGGGGGAAAGTTGTACGTAGAGCGTACGGTGTGTCTTATGTGGTTCGGTGTTTTGCTTGTGTGTATGTGAGTGCTTACTCTGGCTCGTGAGTGGAGGGAATGAATTTTTTGCACCGATGCTTTGTGTGGGATGATTTTTCTTTGCTGTAGCTGTAGTGTGCAACAAGAACAAGTGTGGGGAAAGGCTAGGGCACTTGAGACAAACCCATTGTTTATATCCATCATCTGGATTTTTTTGCATGTTGAATTTTGTTTGTTGGTTTGTGTGCTCTATGAATGTTTGATCCTTATTCTTTCCAACTGGATGACCTGAGAGAATTTTAAATTGGATACTAGGTTGCTTTGTATGGGTTGACAATATTCTTATTGAAGGAAAACAAAAGTAATCAGTAGATGTAGTGCTCCAGCAGAGACATATAATATGCCTTTTGATGCGATACATATTGTCATGTTGAATGTGTAACTTGTTACCACATGGTTTTAATGTACATCTAAATTATTACTACTATTTTTATTAATACTGTAATCAATGTAATTTTGGAATAGTGAGACATCTCACCCAAAGAAAGATTGTTTTTTCAACTTGTCTGTTCTTTCTTTTTTTTCTTCTTTTTTTTTGCGCGGGGCTAGCTTACTTCTTTGATATTTTGTTGCTTTTTAATAAAGAAATCGATCTGTAAGAAAAGCATTGTTCTAAGAATGATTTCTTCAACTGTTCATTTTCAGTTGTGTTTTAAAAAAAAAAGCAGATTTGTTGTAGGTTATTCTCCCCCCCCCCCCCCCCCCCTTTTTTTTTTTGTTTCAGTTTGTAGTGATTGTTGCTGGTTATTTTTACTGAGGCCTCTGACATGTTGTTTTAGTTCTGAACTAGTTTGCTGTGATACACTGGCCTACATGTGTCACAAATTTCTTTCTTTTTTTCCCTGTTTATTTGAACCAGTGTCATTGCTGATCATAAATGTAGCACTCTTCTTAGATAATCTTGGATTTTTGAGCTTAAGTTTTGAGCTGTTCATCTCTGCGGTAGATGAGTTAAAGCTGTTAATAATTGCATGCTTAAGCCATATTGCAATGATGCAAATGTTTGAAATAGCCTTTACAGCTGAACATTGTTGGAAGAGTTGCTGTGTAAGTTGGTGTAGTAGGTCCCTCTCAGAGACATGGCCTGTAGCTGATGGAATCCTTATGGCAACCTCTGGGCAAGGAGTTCGGTTGTAGGGGTGGGAGGAGGGTGGGGGGTTGGGGTCGTAAAGACCATTCTTTGTTTGCAGGTGTCTGCCCAAGGCATGGGCTGGGAATACAATTTTTGGGATTAAAGTTGATCTTGACTGCTCAGTGTAAGACTCCTTCAAAATGGCATAAGGCGGAGTCGTGCACGGAGCAGTTGATCTGTAGCAGTAGGCAGGGACTGGGAATACGTTTTTTTTCTTTCCCCAAGTTGATTTGTACAAGGCTTGGGCTGAGAATTTTGTATAAAAAGTTGATTTGTACCAGGAATGGGGCTGCGAAAACCTTTCTTTGATTAAAAGTGATGTGTATTACAAGGTGTACAGATAGCTCTTGTATCTGATGACACGGAATTTCTCACCTGTAGAGGATAAATAGCTGGTGTCATATTCTTCCTTGTGTTTGAAATTATTATTGGCTTTTTCTGACATTGATATAGCGTACATGAGTTTCTGTTTCTTGTCCTCTCTCTCTTTTAGGCTCCATTCCCTTTGTGCTGTTTCTCTGTCTCTTCCTTTCTCTGTCTCTCTTTGTTTCCCCGTCTCTGTTCCTCGCTCTCTAAGAGCTCAGTTTACTACTTCCAGTAAGATTGCTATGAACTGCTGGTATGACACATGATGAATTATCCCGAAACAGTTCACAACAGGACAACATATATTTATTTTTCACTTGCTCTGAATGAAGTCAGGATATGTGTTTTGCTTCCGTTTTTTGTTTGTTTGTTTTTACTTTTACCAATATCTTTATGATTAATTGCGACTCTTCACACGATTGCTTCCCTTAGCAAGGTCACAGTATGGTTTTTTTTTTTTTTTTGTTTTTTTTGTTTGGTGATTTTTTTCATTGCATTGGGAATTTCTAACGTTTTGAGCTTTGTTTGAGACGTATAGTTGATCTGAATTATGGTTGTTTTTGGTTTCTTTTTAGAAAGAGAGACAAGTTACGTTATAGCAAAGTTTAGTCAATATTATCACACTGTTCTTTTGGTGCAGATATTTTGATTCATTTTTGCTTCCTTCAGTTAGTGTATTACATTATTAGGGAATATTCCTCCACCCCGTACCTACTGCATGGCACAAATACAGACCAACTTTAAAGTCTAGCACAGTGATGCGTGTAGTAGGTTGTCATCTAAGTTACTGACTGTTAGGCAATGTTCCACTCTCCGGTTTTTCCTATTTGTACAATCTTGTCTGCCTAAAGCAGTGGGATTTGTCTGTCTATTTGAGGTGCTGTTGTCCTGATGAATGAAGGTTAATGGACTGCTCACGTCACACCAGATACTGTGCATGTAACTTTAGTGGATGGAAGTTGAATACATTTTCAAACCCCCTTTTGTACAATGAATGAGTAGAGGCACTGGTTCTTGCATAGTCTTGTGTGTGGATAGGGTCAGGTGTTTTGTATATGTGGGTGTGGGGGGTAACATATATTTATCTAGCATTTATATGTAAAGTGAAAAAGGGGAGGGGCGAAAAAAATGAAACAGCAGGAAAGGGCACTACGGTACATGTGGAATTTGTCATTGGGCACTAGATCTGTTCTGTCATTTGAAAGCTCAGATTTCTATGATGTAGGCCTTTCCAAAATTTCATCTTGGTATCCATCTGGCTTGTTGGTAACTGACATCAATCATCTCAGCAGGTAGATTTGTTCCCCATTTTGTAAACACCTTTCATTCGAAAGCAGGAGTTCTCTGTGGTAAAAATCTGAGAGATGTTCAGATGTAACCGCACCTAATGTTTTTCCCATCCCATTTTGACTACCAGAACAGGTGAACTTGGAACTTGTCATGCATATCAGGAAAAAAATAAAGTGGCAAATGTGAGCAAAAGTTAATTATTGTCCACATTGTCCAGCTGCTAGAGCAGAAAGAAATGCTGTTGTTCTTTCAGTTGTGTGTCGTTGGCACAGATAGATTTTCCCATCAGCTGACATGGAGGTTATGTCTCTGCAGGTGTGAACTGTCCTTGCTAGTTTACCAAGTTTATGATTTTCGTATTTCATAAGCTTTTTTCTTTGAATTTTTATTTCGAGGTGCACAATAACTTGTGGAGATGTTTAGAGTTTAGAGTTTACGCTTCTGTTAAGGGCTTTTTATTTCACGTCTATGAAAAAATTTATAGTTTATAGTATTAGAAGATAGGCTGTCCTCTGAACATTTTTTTTTACCTTGTTAAGTACTGCAGACTTTATTTACGCACAAGCCGATGATTTTTGTTGGCCTCAGATTTCTCTTGGTTATGAATGTTTCTCTGTATTTGGCTAGAGTCGTAGTTTCTGCTAGCCTTTCTGGTTTCTCATCATGTAGGGGCCTTTGTGGAATGTGACATGAGATGTCTGATTCACACTGTTTGTATAATTTAGTGTAGATCGAATAAACCCTTCAATTTGGTTAAGTTATGTTTGTTGAAGAAGCCCAAAGATAGTGAGTTAAAGTGATTTGAGAAAGTGACGGTTGAGTTGTTTCTAAAGACTTTCATATCGCGGTTATTCCTTTCAATCACTATTTGAAAGATAAACAGTCTTATGACTGTGCTTGCTGCATTTGTCTATAGTCACATTTGGACAAATAAATCTGATAGGAGGGCTGGAATAAATGAAATATGAGTTCAGTTGTCTTGTAGCTTGTATTATGTCATCATGAATTTTATAAAATTTCTTGACCCTTTAAAAAATGTTTTGATAGGCTTCTTTCTCTATTCAAAGAGTAATATAAATATATTAAAATAATTTACTCTGTTCCTTTCCTCCTGTCCAGAGAGCCAAGTGACTCTGTTATTATTATTTACTCTTTGTCTGTGTGAAAAGCAGATTATAGAACCTTTTTACCAAATTTTTCTGTAAACTAAACATGAATTCTCCACTTAATTCTTCAACCTCATCATAGACTGATAGCCAGTGCCTGCAATTTGCTTGCTTTCTGTGTGCTTTCAAAAGTAGAGACTTTGATAGAAAAAGAAAATGTTTGCCTAAAGTACATGTATGAGAATGTTACATGTATTGGGTTTGATTTTCACCTCTGATGATCTGACATGATTGAAGAAACCATCAATCTTGGCTTGAGCTCCAACATCGTGGTGTGCATAGGTAGTTGGAAGGAGATTTGGGGGGGGGGGAATTGTACGCGCAGTAATTCAAGATATCTCTCCCCCCCCTGATGACACGTTGTACATTATTGGAGTGCTCACACTTTACCCCGGGCAGGTAGCACCCCGCAACTCCCCCTCTCCACTTCCCCCTCTACCCCACTCCTTTGACCACCACACTCTCACAAAGCATGAGTGAGTTCCCCCCCCCCCCCCACGTTTTAAAAAAAATCTGGCAAGGCTGAGGGCTGATTACATCTTACATGAATATATACAAACGTATGTAAACACATGCACAGACATAAACACATCTCACTTGCCCACACACACACACACTCCACACACACTCACACACACATGCACACTTGCCCACCCACACACACACGCAAACACACACACACACA